AATTGAGAGGGATAGAGAGTTAGAAATGTCGATGAGAGAGAAACATCGACCAGCTGCCTCCTGCCCACCCCCAACTGGGGATGTGCCCGCAACCAATGTACATGCCCTTGACCGGAATCGAACCCGGGACCCTTCAGTCCGCAGGCCAACGCTCTATCCACTGAGCCAAACCGGTTTCGGCCCGTGTAACGTTTTAATAACGGAAGCCGTAAGCATTCTACACCGCAGGGCGGGCATAATCCTGTTAAGAGTTATCTCCACGGTGACTGGCTCCGGGTGTCTGTGAACAACCACTCTGATGTCTGAACACCTCCTGCCTGGACACAGAGGATTAAGAGCAAATGAAGTTCAGGAGGTAAACAAGTCACATTTGAAAATTAAAACCCCGATGATAGATAAATGTTTAATCTCAGGATGCCGGATTAAATGCTTTTGAATTAAAGCAAAGCATACAGACCGGAGAACTTCCTTGCGTGCTAAGGAGTAAAGGTTTGGGGCCTGCATTGGTCATTATGTCCATGTGGATGAGAGGCGGGAAAATAAAATCTTACTTTTCTATCTCCTCTTCAGCCCACTAATGCCTGGTCCAGATCTGCTCTCTAATTCTCTTTCATTACTATGCTAATACTTAAATTTTTTCGGTCTCATTGTCTTTCATTTTAGGGCACCTAATTTTTAATGTAAGGTTGTGCTCATTCTGAGGGTTCTCCCCCAGAGACCCGCCGTGTTTACCTTACTGGAACATCTTTTTTTCGGTTCTTGGGTAGTTTGCCAGCTTATATCCAGATTTGGGGAAAAATGCTGCTTTCAGACAGTGAAGACAGGATTGCTAAAGGGCATGCCATTACCTCAGGATTTTAAACCTAGATCTTCTTGGACTTTTTAGGAATTCCTTACTGTAAATGTTCAGCTTTCCCAAACTGGCCTTTTCTTCCAAGATGTAAGAAAGGAGGCTCCTGACTCCCAGCACATGTTTACAATCAGGCCGTCAGTCAACACAACCTGCTATGGACTCGGGCTTTGGTAGAAAGTTATTTATTTTGTAAATAGCAGATGAAGTAGATCCAAGCTAAACACCTTCCTCGTGATAGATTCATCTCTAATCATTGATCTCACAGCTTCTAATTAAACTGCTACTAAACCTAGTCATCTGAATTCATATAGAGGAGGTAGAATTTTTTAACTGGATTGAAATATATAAATATATAAATATAGGTCAGACCATGCTTAACTATAGAAATGTGAAGTCCCTTAAAGGAACAACGATACCCTGGGGTGAAATAGCTCTCCAGATCACACCAGCAGATGCATTCCTACTGCCAGCTGAACTCCGTAGAAAGGAGATGGGCTTTAAGTGTGATCCGGGGGCAGCTTAAAGAAGGCAGGGCAGCTGAAACTCACAAAACAGGTTTGAAGTTTTAAAATTAAAAGTAAAGAAGTAAAAGCCTTCACAATTCAAGACAGCCTTTCCATAGCTCGCTGTTACTTGTCCATGGAATAAACACTTTACAAGGGAAGGTAAACCAAGGTAAACTCGGCTCTTGCCAAGTTTAATCCAGGACCCACGTGCCTCCCTCGGGGCAAAGGCAGCCGTGACAAAGGGCATTCTGAAACCACCTTTTGTCATCTCTGCCCTCTGTAACTCATGGTCTTTCCTTTTGTCAAAATGCTCCTTAAAAGCTGTTCCCATTACAGTCCCATTTTCCAAATATATCCTTTTATCTCATTTCTTTAATAAACACAGACAATTCTCCATTACCTTCTGCAGTGATTAGAATCCACAGTCCAGGCCATTCGGACTGCTTTTGTTCGCCTGGAAGCGCGCTGTGATTTTGTGGACTCTTCATTCAGGGCACATTTGAAGTGAGCTGACAACCCCTCGCTACACATTTCCATGATTCAAGGGCTGGACCTTGACTTTGACTGTGGGAGCAGCAGAGGGGGAGGCAGCAATATCTGTTTCCTGACAAGGTGCACTTTTGTTGGCTAATCACCTCTGTTTTTCCTGACTCAACAGTTCGATTGAAAATGTTTACCAAAATGTAAAAGCATACACTTTCACTTATTGTTTATATTTTTATTGACTTTAGAGAGAAAGAAAGAAACATCTCTTTATTGTTATGTGCCCTGACGTAGATCACGCCTGAGAACTTTGACTGATGGGACGATGCTCCAATCACTGAGCCACCGGCCCCGGCTGGCTGCAGTCAGCAGCCCCCTCAGTTATCCGTGTCAGTGGGAGGGAATCCAGACAATGAACAAAGGCGAACGCTTTCCAAGGTGCCGATATCACACTTACTACCAACTCAAACAGCAGTGGAGGCAGCACTGAGGGCAGGGGAGGAAGGCAGGCAGGACAGGGGCATGCCTGGGAAGCCTGCACCTCCCAGGAGGCTCTGTATTCAAAGCCATCCTTGACACCACTCAGCTGAATTCAAAGAGTGAGTCCGCAAAGTCACTAACTTCCAGAAAAAACAAAACAAAAAACTAGCTACTGTTGGTGAACTTCCAAACGTTAAGTGTTTGATTGGCATTGATTTTCCTGATAGGTTGCTATACTTTTACTTTCTAAGGGGACTGTCCTTTTTTCCTGACAAGGTGCACTTTTGTTGGCTAATCACCTCTGTTTTTCCTGACTCAACAGATTATGCAATTTGAGAAACTTGCCTCAGGGCTAAGGAGGGGCTGAATGAGACCACAATCCCAGGCAGTGAGCTCTAGATCCAGGATCAGAACCACACTAACAAAATGTGGCTGCTCTGCACCTTCGCCCATGACCGCAATGACAACAGCCCCCGGGGTATGAGCCAGGCCCGGGCCTGGTCTCTGTGACCTTCTGATGCACCCCTGCTGGCCCCTCTTCCTGCTCAGGGACATTCCAGGCTGGAGTTTGGCGTGCTCTGGCTGTTTCTCAAGCTCCCAACCTTTCAACCCCCATAGGACATTGGACCGAGGCTCAAGATCACGGAGGGGTTACAGAGCAACGTTTTCCACCTCAGTGAGTTTCCCTCGGAGACAAGGATGTGTCTTGACTGCGTGGATGAGCCCTGAGGGTCGGGAAGTAGCTTTTGGGGGAAATTAAATCACTGTTACCGCAGGTTGTCACCAACACCTTCTGTTCCTTTCACATTTATCAGGGGAACTTGTTTTCCGCTTCCTAGCGATAATTTTTTTATCACTCTTGTCTCCAAGTATTGGAGACTAAGGCGGTGGTCAGTCAGATGGAACTCTAGACAACGGGCTTACTAATAAATCCATGCAAGGAACATATGCACTGGAACTGGATCGAACACCGAGTCTTCCTAATTCATGCGGAATCTTCAAACCAAAGTGAACTTGTGTGGTGAGTCCACAGGACAACTGGACATCTGAGCCTCACCACGCTCCCCTGGGCTGCCGGTGTCTGTCTTCCTCACTGTCTTTGGAGACGGATTTCAGGGTCCCTCAGGGTCCTCTCGCTCCTGCCTCACAGCCTGACTGGGAGGGAGAAGTGAGGTCGGTGTGTGAGCAGAGAGGTTCCTGGTTCAAGGCTGTTGCATTCCTGAACGACATAAATGCTGAAAAGCCACTGTGCTAGGTCACAGGAATGGCAGGCAGACCAGCTGCACAGACTTAAAGTCAGGTGGGGGGCAGCTGAGGGCTCTGGCTTCCCACAGGGTCTCGGCTGGAACAATACAGGACATGAAGCCAGGCCCATGAGTGTCACGGGCATCTTTCACCTTGGTGTGGCTAAGAACTGATTTCTGGCCTAAGAGAGACTGAGGAAGAGATCAGTTATGCAGGTAACGTGCCATTTTGAAATTCAAAAGCCAAAGCCAGCTGCCTCTGGCACTCTCATTTCTGAGTCAGCACTGACACTGAGGGACTCTTTACTGTTGACTGGGGGGGGGGGGGGGGGGCAGAGGGGTTTGGTCAGGGTCAAAGTAACAAGGACAGAAAGAACTAGAATGTCCATCCGGCCTCTGTTACCCTTTGCACACAAACAGGGACTAGTCAAATTATTCCATTGATCCATATGAAAAAGTACATGGTCTACAGGAGAAATTGCCAGGAAACCCACCGAAGAAGCCCACACGGGGGACCGACCGTGGTGCTTGTTACTAAAATGGGCTTTTCGCACCAACGTCTCTCCGCCAACAGCAGAGACAAAACGTGGCAAAGGCAGCGACTCTGCAAACAGGTGGTTTTAAACTTTTACTTAAGCCACTGACAGCGGACGAAAGGACATTGTTGTCATTTCTAAAGAACACACACACACACGTGTGCAAACACAGATCTCATCAGACTCACAGGAAGAAAGGTCTCCAAGAAAACCGCCTTTCTCTGAACAGCAGTGTCTGAGGCAGAAACGTGCCCAGAGTGTGCACACCTGGAGCCCCTTTCACAATTAAGTCTCTCTCTCTCTCTCTCTCTCTCTCTCTCACACACACACACACACACACACACACACACACACACACCCTCGGAGGTCCCGGGAGAGCTCACGGGAAATGACCGTTTCAGGTGGGACTTTATATTCAGAAAGATAGATGACATTTTCACCGAACACAGCGCAGGAGGAAAGCCAGAGCTGTTCGGAGGGGAGAAGACCGCTCCTGGCATTTCTCGGTTCTCAGAGATGTAAGCAGCCTCGGCCGCGCGGCTGTCCTGCAGGGCCGCACCCGGCCATCCTCAGCGGACCCTGCGGGCCGGCGGCAGCACACAGGCGCCCGCGGGCAGCCCGCTGGGAGCCTGCAGAGCCCCCCGGACTGCAACTCTGCGCCCTGCAGTCCCGCCACTCGGGTCGGGACCGGCTCCCTGACCTGCCCCCACCGCCCGCTCCAAGGGCACCCGCTCCGCTCCCGGCCTCCTCGGCCGCCACGCAGACCTCCCTCCCGGAGGCCAGGCTCCCGCGGCTCCCGCGCCCCCGGGCGCAGGGGTGGGTGGTCCAGGCCTTCCCGGTGCCCACCCGCGGGGACCCCAGGGACCCTCCCGCCCTGGAGCCAGCGCGCAGCCCGTACCTCGATGTCCGGCGCGTCCTTGCTGAGCACGGGGGCCATGGCGGCGCCTGCAGCGGGGACCCTGGAGACTGACCCTCCGCGGCGCTCGGGCTCCGGGGCGGCGGCGAGTGCGGCGAAGGGGAAGGAGGAAGCCCGGGGCAGCGGCGGGGGCGGGGCCGGCCTGAAGCCTCGGGCGGGGGCGGGGCCACAGGAAGACACGCCCAGGGGCGGGCTAACACGAAAGGACACGCTCCCTATTGGCTGCGGGATGGTACGCCTAGGGGCGTGGCTAATGTAAGAGGACACGCCTCTGGGCGGGGCTTTGCGCTCCGCCGGGAGACTCACGTGCAGGGCCGGGCGCTGGGCCCTGGGGTCCACCCTCCCGCCCCTCCACCCCCCCAGCCCGGCCGCTTGTTTTCCTTCCGCGGGCGGAAGGGAGGGCGGGAGAGCGCTGGCTCAGCGACTGCCCTTTGCAGTTCAAGGCTGAGCTAGGTGGGCGGCCCACCCACGGGATTAAAGGTGAAAGCTGCGGGCGCTCAGGGTGACAGGCGGCTCCTTTTCTTGACTCCCCCACCACCTCCGCCAGGTGCACAGGTTGCACTTCAGGGCGGAGGTGGGGTCCCTGCCCCCATCCCGCTGAGAGGCGGCCGGGCTCTGGACCCTGGAGCAGGGCAAGTGCATATCTGAGCTACAGGGTGAGTGTGGGGGACACTCCCTTGTCAAAGGCGGCCAAGCCCTGGGAGCAGCAACTCCGTGGCCACGAGGGCAGGTAGTGAGTGGGAAGGGCTGCAGGTGCCAGGAACTCTAGGCTGTATTTTTGCAGAACAATCCATTCCGGTGACTTTTCAAAAAATTCTTCTATAAGGTTAAGCTCTTTTGAAGAGTTAGTTGCTCTTTAACTTTGGTTCTAGAGCTCGCTTGGGGCAGGAAAGTGGTTTCACTTGGAGGCGGTCTCAATCCAGAAAAGATTCACCTGTGCATGAGGAGAGCCGTTCTCCAGACTCTCTCTTCCCGCCCCACTCAGACCAGTGCCACGTGAGCTGCGAATCACCTGGCCCCCTTCCTCCCAGCTTACCCAGGCCTGGCCTCTGCTGCCCTGACTGGTGCTGTTCCAAACACAGGCAATCTGTCTTCCCTCCTCCCAGCACTCATCTTGCTGGCACCTGTCCAACCCCTGGAGCACTCTCCACATCTTCTTGCCCCTGAATTCTCAGAGAAGCCTTCCCTGACCCATCCCCCCACCACAAAACAAGGCTCACCTGGCCCTGTCCATGTGCAATCCAGCCCTGTCAGACTGCATGAGCATGGCTAGCTGAGGGAGCCGTGTTTACCACCTGGCTCCCATTTACAATGTGGGCTCCAGGAAGCGGGGCCCATGTCTGCCTTGGCTGTCTCCTGGCTGTTAAGTTCCTCGTCCAGGACTGAAACATGCGAGACCAAGAACACCTGGTGGTTGCATGAACATAGTAGATTCTCAAGCCCTTCTAGGCACCGCACAGTTCATTTTAGAAACTCCGGTTGCTCTTTACCAGGTAAACCAAGTAAATCACAAACACTACCAATGACTTCCTAGTTAACCACACCATGCCTCTGAAGTCATCTATATCCTCTTGAAGATCTATCTATCTACCAAGAATAAAAGGATATACACTATGTATATGCACATATATAATGCATATATATAACATAATACATAATCATAACATATGTATGATTCCTTCTCCAATTTAACCAGAAAGCTTCAATGTCAATTTCCTAACCTCCAGAGATAACGGCCCGTCCCTTTTTCTAATACAGACCTTATGTGAGCAATCGCTACTTCAGTGGTGTTATGGTGCAGGTGTCCAAGGTCCCCAAGAGTCAGACATTGCTTGCCCATATGTGGCTTCTGTGATTCCTCTTCTTCTGAACTCACAGAGGATAAGCCCAGCGTATGCAGCCTTTACCAAAGTAAGAGCTTCTTCTGTGACACTCAATAATCCAATATAAAATTCAAATGCGATCCTACGATCCCCTCCCCCCCACCTCACCAAACAGATGCCTCCTGTTCTGCGATGCTTAATTAAGGCATCTATTCGCATTGCTCACATGCCACGCCTATCCCTGTGATCAGTGACTGGATCTAATAGCATGTGACATCCACTGAAATTCCGCATTAAACACAGTTGCACCTGTAAATGGTCCAGCCTGTTTAAAGCTCACTGCACATGCGTTCCCCCCACACTTCCTAAAAGTTGTAAATTATGCTGGCATTTCCAAGCTGTCCCTCCATCTGGAGGCTCAGTCACATATCAGGTGTTCCGCACTCATTGTTTGGTCGGCCCTGGAGGGACAGCTCATCTGATAGATGCATCTGAACAAATCGCCTACGTGCATCTCTGCCGAGTAGCTGCATTACACAGGTGATTGTTATTCACTCCGATTCTCGCCACAGACAGAAGGAAGCCTTGGGATTCGCCCTTCATTTCTGAAAAATTATCCAGAAGCACAAATTTAGAAACAATATAAATTCAGATTTCCATGTGTTTTTTTTATTGTCCCCCCTCTATAGTCTAGCATTAAGTAATTTTTTTCCAGACATTCTTTGGAAGGTGATTTTATCCCAAAATGTCATAAGTCTGGATTGGTCATATGAACTATGTTTTCAAATGCTTTCCGAAGGCCAGCTTTACTCCTGTCCAAACAGATCAAGATAATAAAAACTAAAAATCAGTTGGGTCCAAATATTTCTAGCATTCCTACTCAAAAAAGTCCTTATGTATGGATGAACTTGGTATAATTCACTCAACTACATATACCGTGTGTCCTATATAAGCACTCCTCTACAGGCACATATGTGGGTGCTGCATATATGTCTATAAATTATGTAATACTGTAACAAGTACAAATAACACAGAGAACCCAAATCCCTACCGGAAACTTACTCAACAATTATTTATTGAGTGCTGTCGGCAAACTCCTTAGTCCACAGAGCCAAATATCAACAGTACAATGATTGAAATTTCTTTGGAGAGCCAAATTTTTTAAACTTAAACTGCTTCTAATGCTACTTCTTTAAAATAGACTCGCCCAGGCCGTGGTATTTGGTGGAAGAGTCACACTCAAGGGGCCAAAGAGCCGAATGTGGCTTGAGAGCCGCAGTTTGCCGACCATGGTGCTGGATCTCCGTGATGCCTCGGTGGATAATAAAAATATCGCCCTTGCCATCACCAAGCCTGAGCCACTCTCTCCAAACACCGATAGCCACAGAATGAGTTTGAGCAGGTGGAATCACTAATGGGCTTATGGAGAGAATCCAATGGCAAAAGGCACGGGACAGTGTTTGATAAACTGCACGATGCCCTGTCCTGTTAGTTAACATTTAAAGGCATGTTCTCCAGTGCTCCTGTTCTGGAAAACCCACCGCTGCCTTGCCTGACCCGTGTGCTGATGAGTATGACTGACACGCATGCTTTGGGGTGAAATGCAGAGTGTGGGTAGGAGGTTTACAGACTTACCTGAGCTAGGGAGATGAACGCTCATTGAGTTATCACACAGAAACGTCACATTTCCTGTGTGACAATATTAAGGGACAATGCAGGACTGTTACAGCGAGGGACTGAGATGTCTGAGAAATGAAGAAATGACCAACAGGCTGCTGAGATCTGAAGGACCATAGGAGGTAAGAAAGCGTTGTGAGGAGGAAGAGATCCTTAAAAAGGTGCATGACTGTCTGTTTATTAAGGGATTACACACACACACACACACACACACACAGGCTCATAGGCACAGATAACAGCATGGTGATGACAGAGGGAAAGGGGGGAGATGGGAGAGGGTAAAAGGGAGACACATGGGGATGGAAGGAGCCTTGACTTGGGGTGGTGGACACACAGTACAATGTACACATGATGTAGTATAGAATTGTACCCCTGAAACCGACATCATTTTATTAACCAATGTCATCCCAATAAATTCAATAAAAAAGAGAAGAAGACAATTAAAAGCAATCCAGGCAAGGAAGTCACCTGTGCAAAGGTCCTGGGGCCACAGGGGCCCTGAGAGAGGGGGAGGAGGCTGCCGGGGGGCTCAGGCAGCGGGAAAGGATCAGGGTGGGGCTGTAGGGATACGCACGCGTCCACAGCCTGAGTGTTAGTTTAGGATTTTGAAATCTACCCTCTAGGAAGTGGGAAGCGGGGAGGTTTTTCGGAAGCAGAGGAGCAACACGATCACATATGAGGTTGGAAGTATCACTCTGACTGCAAGACACGGATGACTGCCCGATCGGTAGTCACGTTGGTGAATGTGTGAAAAATGGACCAAGCCCCATCCCGCTGTGGGTTCAGCCTCAGTCATTTCCTCCACAGCCTGGCCCGGGTGGTCCTCACCCTTGTCCCTTGGAAACCAAAACAAAGCACTTCCCACCACCAACCACGGTCACTGAGCAGGGCCGACCCGGACGGGGCAGAGCTCCATGCCTCCCGTGAGCGCCGGGGAAGCAAACCCTGCATCCCAGCCCGGTGTCTGTCACTCCGTCGGGGGCTCTCTCTCTGTCGCGGCCCGTCTTCAGCCCCCTCCATGCGGAGCGGGGACACGCCGCTGTTCTCTGTTTGCATGGTCAGGCAGCCCCTGGGCCCGTGGTCGGCAAACTGCGGCTCTGTGGCCCCTTGAGGGTGGCTCTTCCACAAAGACACTACAGCCTTGGGCGAGTCTGTGTTGAGGAAGTGGCCTTCGAAGAAGTTTAAGTTTAAAAAGCCTGGCTCTCCAGAGACATGTCCATCGCACCGCTGACGCTTGGCTCTGTGCCCCGAGGAGTTTGCCGCCCGCTGGCAGCCTGGCCGGTGAGGTCAGAGGCGGCCGGTGAGGTCAGGGGCGGCCGGTGAGGTCAGGGGCGGCCGGTGAGGTCAGGGGCGGCCGGTGAGGTCAGGGGCGGCCGGTGAGGCCAGAGGCGGTTTCACGCGGGTCTCACCCCTCCGTCCCCCGCCTAGTCCCCACGGAGACCGGGAGCTGCGGGCCGGTTCCGCCTTCTGTGCCCCGGACACCCGGCGGGGGGCGGCCCGAGGGGAGCGCGGGGCCGGCCG